ACCCACACACCACCTTCTTTAAATGCATTTGGCAAGTCTAGAATGACAGCAATTAGTAACTGGGCTCAAGCACTATAATGAGATTTGGTCTCGACAGTAAAGGAGAAATTCTTCTACTGATTAATAGGGTTAGTGAAGCAGTTAAAAGTTGTACACTGAGAAATATTCCACTGGGGCCATTCTGAGCACAAAGAAAATAGACTCTGCAGCAAATCAAACTGGTGAGTCACACGTGTGTATCTTCTTTTTAGACTTTTTTTTAAAATAGATGTTTCGACTCCCTACTAAAGTTTGACCTTTGAAGGCAAACAAAGTGGTGGTTATGTTTAGATGGGGGAAGTCCGGTGAAGGTTTGAGTAATTTCAGAAACTGCTACCTATGTGTAGGTATTTCCAGATAATTTAGACAAAGTTGAGTGGGGCGGGGAGGAAGCAAACTACATGATTTTTCTAAACGATAGCATTTTTTTGGTGGCCTGTTTTTTAATTGACTAATTTGGGTCAGAGAGGCTATGTGGTTCATCAAAAGCACAGACCATGGGGTCTGAATCAGCTCTTGGACTTATCAGCTCTGTGACCTGGAGCAAGTTATTTAGCCTCTCTATGCCTCTATTTCCTCATCAATAAAATGGAGATAATAAGAGTATCTACGGCTGAGGCGGAAGGATGCCGGAGCCCAGCAGGTAGAGGCTGCAGTGGCCAGGAGCAGCCACTGCACTCCAGTCTGGGCGACAGAGTGAGACTGCAACTCAAAAAAAAAGAGTATCTACTTCATAGAATTACTGTGAAAATTAAATAAATGAACACATTAAAATGCTTAGAGCAATGCTTGGCCTGTAGTGAATGCTTTATGTATGGGCTATATTATTATTATCTGAAAAACAATGTCAACTTTCCCCACCAAACTGCCTTTGTAACTACCACATACCTGGGAGCACGGTTTCTTATAAAGCTATGTTACTTTATGCAGTATTAAATGCACATTTCCTTGTGCGTCAAGTAAAACTGGCCACCCTAGGGGAGGACTTTATGGCTGGAAGGAGTCCTCAACATCGAGGACTTCATCTGAAGGCATCTTCAGCCGGGCACAGTGGCTCAGCCTATAATCTCGAGCCTTGGGAGGCTGAGGTGAGTGGACTGCCTGAGCCCACGAGTTCGAGACCCGCCTGGGCAACTTGGTGAGACCTCATCTCTACAATAAATTGGAAACATTAGCTGGATGTGGTAGTGTGTGCCTGTAGTTCCAGCTACTTGGAAGGCTGAGGCGGAAGGATCACCAGAGCCCAGCTGGTCTAGGCAACGGTGTCTGGGAGCGGCCACTACATTCCAGTCTGGGTGACAGAGTGAGACTCCGACTCAAAAACAAACAAACAAAAACAAACAAACAAACAAAAATGTATCTTCATCTGAAAGCATCATTTTGTAGACGACACAATCGAAAGGTGAGGCAACTTGCCCAAAGCTGTGGAGCAAGTTGTAATCTGGTGGCCAAATCCAGATGAGAACAAAGGTCCAGCTTTCCTCTTTGCGTCTAGGTGCTATTTATTAATACATAATCTCCCTTTATCCTCGACGGATTATTAGTGTTCCAGGTATGAAAAGAAATTGGAAACTAGGAATTAGGGTGCTTGGGGTCTCTACCCACACGCTGCCACAGACCTGTGTCATAATTTCCTTCTCCTATCCCAGTCTGAAGGGGGTTTATATGGACATTCGTTTTTTGGCCACCAGGCAACACTTTTTGTTTTCTAACCACAGTCGTATTTCCTCTTAAGGAATTTACACTGCTGTGTGTGTGCTTGGGGCAAATGTCAGCCAAAGTGTCTACTCCCTCCAACCTAGGGTCAGCCCAGGAACCCAGAAAGGCTGACCGGTCCTTGAGCAAAGCTTCATGGATGGAGGGCACAAATGGAGCTCACCTGTTCTCACACATGCCAGGCTGGGTGTTCTGATGTGGAAGGCCTGGGGCGCGTCCTGAGTCATTTCTAAGCCTGGCATTCAAGTCTCCAGTTTATTCTATGCATGACCCAATAGGCCTCAAATAAAGTCTCTAATTGGCTTAAGATAAGGAGATTTGATTCCAACACTTAGCCTATTTGCTTAACTTCTCAGAACTGTTGTGAAAATTCCTGGTGGGTAGAAAGATGGCAGGAGGCAGTGGAAAATGGGAACAGAGGTGCTCACTGCAGAGTGGTCTGGGAATGGGCGGGGCGGGGGCTGCTGTTGGGGTGTGTGGTAGAAGAGAAGGTGTGAGCTGTGAGCCGAGTAAAACCGAGATCTCTGTGCACCGGCACAGAGAAGGCTCAGCAGCAGGAAGGCAGGGAACTAGGAATGATGTCAAGACAAGCTGTTGGCACATCAAAGTCCCCAAGGAGGAAGGGGAGGTCAGGGAAACAGGAAAAGACAGTGCCCTTTACTGGAGAACCTGGAACAGAAAATCGGCAACCAGAAACCTGAGAAACTGAAAGAGGAAGACTTCCAAGGACTCAATCGAGGCTCTACCCACTGTCACAACAAAACAAGATGTTATAGGGAGCCCTAAAAAAGTGAAGCCAAAAACTGTTTCAAAGACAGTCTGGACAGCAGAAGCCAGTAGTCATCTATTCTTTCTTTCATTACATCAGCTTGCATGCATTCACTAAACATCTGTCATACGCTGGCCATTGAGCTACATGCTGGGTACGGAGATAAACACCACTGTGCCTCCCTTCATGGGATTTCCAGTTCAACAAGGAAGGGGGAATAAAAAGACAGACGATCACAGCCAGAGAGATAGGTGTGTGTGTGTGTGTGTGTGTGTGTGTGTGTGTGTGTGTGTGTATGGAGAGCAGACACAAAGGATAAAGCAATAGTTCCTACAGGAAACCATGTGGTGGGAGCATCCATCCCCAACAATCAGAGGAGGACTTGCAAGGACTCCAGGAGAGTTACCCACATGTGCACTGCAGCCTAAATTGCTGTTCACTCAGGCTTTTATCCTATTTAGTGACAGGGAAAGGAGCATAGGAGGCCACATTGGGCTTTGCTCTGGTTCCCAAAGGCCTGGAGGGTTGACACCAGAAAACCTAGGGATATGCACAAAACCCTCCTACCAAAGTGTGGTCCCTGGACCAGCAGCATAGACCTCTCCTGGGAGCTTGTTAGAAATACAGGTTCCAGGCCTCAGCCAAAACACATTAAATCACACTCTGCGTTTTACCAAGGTTGCCAGGTGATTTGTAAGCATGTTAGCATTTGAGAAGCTTCTGTTTGATGATTGCTGATTCTTACTGATGCTGGTGAAAAAGGATTTCACTAGTTAAACCCTTAGAGAAGTACTGTGATATTCATCCAAGGGTAGGTAAATTAGAAGAACTGAACCATGGCGGCTAGGAAGAGAATGTAACCAGTATTCTTGGGGACAGTGGTGCAGGGTTGGGGGAATGGCAAGAAGACTTGGTAAGACGGGTTCCTATGGGTTGGACACACCATATAGCTACTGATAAAATACATAATGCTTAGTTAAATATGCATTTCAGATACATAATGAATGACTTTGTAGTATGTGTCCTATGCAATGATTGGGATACATACTAAAATGCTATTCATTGTTTACCTGAAATTCATATCTAACTGAGCATCTTGTATTTTTATTTGTTAAATTTAGGAATTTTAGTCTATCAGGGTCTAAGTGTCACCTCTCAACATCTAAAAGGGTTTAAAACTATTAAAACAAAGGGATCAACTAAGAATAACCAAAAGAATAGAATGGGTGACTTAAATTTAGGCCTGCCAAGTAAATTAACTTAGGGACATGTTTGTAATTTGTTTTAATATTTTCAATGCAGATATAAATGTAGTTGAATCACCAATATCTTCCTGTATAAGAATAAGATCCAGAGGTGGCAGATGGTTAAGTAAATGGTACTTGAAAAATAAAGCTGAATCTTTAACTAACACCACATAGATAAAAGACCTGAAAGTGAAATATAGCTTTTAAAAGTTGATAGAAAAAAGTACAAGAGAATATTTTAATTACCCAGGTGAAGAGAAGAACTTTTTAAGTTAAAATTTTAAGACATTTATGAACCAGCCATTCCACCACTAGGTATGTATCCAAAAGAGTTTAAGTTGGTATGTCTAAGAGATAACTGCACTCCTGTGTTCATTTCAGCATCATTCATGATGGCCAGGCAATGGAAGCAACCCAAGTCCTCATCAATTAATGAATGAATGGATGAAGGAAATGTTTTATGCGTGCATGCAAACACACACACACACATACACACACACGAAATACTATACAGTCTTAAAAAGAAAGAAGTTCTGTCATTCATGACAACATGGATGGAACTATAGGATATTATGCTAAGTGAAAGAAGCGAGGCACAAAAAGACAAACGCTATACGATCTCACATATATGTGGAATCGAAAAGAGTCAATCTAATAGAAACAAAGAGCAGACTAGTGGTTACCAGAGGCTGGGTTGTGGGGAGGGTATGGGAAAAGGGAAGATGTGGATCAAAGGGTACAAAGTTTCAGCTAAACTGGATATATACTTTTAGTGATCTACTGTACTACATGATGTCCGTAGCTAATAATAATGCACTGTATATTTCAAAAATTATTGAGAGAATAGATTTTTAATGCTCTCATCACAAAAAATGATAAGTTGGTGAGGTGATAGATATGTTAATTGAGTTGATTGAGTCTTTCTATAATGTATACATGGATCAAAGCATCACATTGTGCCCCACAAATGACATAATTATTCTTTGTCAATTAAAAATAAATTTAAAACAAGTTAAAAAACAAACCATAAGGCAAAAAATTAACTTGCTTACATCAAAATTAAGAATTTCCTTTCAACAATGGACACCATGGACAAATAGAAAAAGACAAAGAAGAGGTGAAGATAGCCGCTAAAAACAATTAGGATTGATTTGGAAAAGATACAAGGAACTGTTGAAAATCAACAAGAAAAGGATAATAGTCCTACTAGAAAAAAAATGGGCAAAGACTACAGATAGGAAATTTACTTAAACAGAATCTCAAAAAGCTAATAAGTTCATTGACGGGAGGTTCAAAATCATTAGCATCAGAGGAAAGCGCAGTTGACTAACATTGACATGTCACTTTATACTAGGCCATGCTAGGCTGTATGAGACTGGAGCGTGAACAGCTGAGCAGCGGGAGAGCTGGCAGGGATGGGCACACTGGGGGAAAATCTTGCCCTGCTGGTGGGGGACAGGCAGCCACTGCTTCGTGAAAGTCAGCACACACACACCCCATGGTCAGCATATTCTTCCCAATTCTCACAGAATTTCAGAGGAGGCAGTACATCCTTTGTGGAGGGACATCTTTGTGTCCTGAGTGTCCATCTCTGTGGGAGTGGAAGATATGGTAGGTTAGACACACCATGGAAAGTTATACAAAACTCAAAGCAAAGGTCACACAGACCTACACCAGTAGAATGGTTCTCATAGACAGAAGCTCAGTGGACAAAGTGAACACAGAATCACATCTATAACACATTTCCATTTACACGTATTCAAAAATATGGCATATTTTATGAAAAACGTGAACTATACGAAGAATAGATGGGTTGAACTTGCTTGGAAAGGAGAATGGGAGAGGAGTTCTGAGATATCAAAAATAATCAAAAATAGTAATAACAGTAAATAATAAAATGAAAATAATAAGTACCAAATAAGCAGTGGATAATAAAATGATAAGTAAATAAGACAGAAGAACAATAAAATTAAACGAAGAAAATGATCATCCCTGAACCAACAATGATAAAAGTGGCATGAAATTAGGAGGCAACCAGCTCAGCACTCTGCAGTCCAAGATATATGTGTGTGTGTGTGTGTGTGTGTGTGTGTGTGTGTGTGTGAATATATAAGTAAGCAACCACGGGGGTCTAAATTCACTGCCCTTGTCCCATTGGGGCTTACTCTTATGTTCCAACTTCCTAGCGCTCAACTCTGCTCTGGGCTCCAGCTCTGTTCCCCAGGCTTCTGTTGCCAAGGGCAGTCCCAGGCTCTGTGCAGTTTGCACACTCAAGTCCTGCTTCTAATGCTGGAGGTGGTTTTTCCCTGCCTCCTCCAGAGGGAAGTGACACAATCACTCACAGAGTGGTGGGTCCATTGCTCAGCCCTTGTCTGACTGTATCTGCACCTCTCACAGTCTGGGATTTGACCAGAGAAGCAGAGGACTCTGGTCAAAACTCTTCTCCTTCCCCGACATTCTCCTGCCATCTTGAATGGGAAAGAGTGTCTCCAGGTATATATTTGAAAATGCTCGTTAAGGCGGCTCTTAGGAACTCCATAGGTTGAAAACCACTGATGTTTATAAGTAAATAAATAAAAATCAGTAAGATACATGTTGAGCATCCTAATTTGAAAATCTGAACTGCTCCAAAATCCAAAATTTTTGGAAGGCTTTCATGGTGCCACAGATTACCCACATGGGTGGTAGAGATAGTGACATCTTTGATTTCTGATGGCTCAATGTATACAAATTTTGTTTCATACACAAAATTATTAAAATATAATATAAAATTACCTTCAGGCGATATGTATAAGGTGTGTAGAAACATAAATGAATTTTGTGTTTAAGCTTGAGTCTCATCCACATGTTATCTTTCTATGTATATGCAAACATCCCAAAATCAAAAAAAAAAAAAATCTGAAATCTAAAACACTTCTGGTCCCAATAATTTCAGTTAAGGGATATCCATCTACAGCGAGAATATAAAATCAATGACCAGATATATGTTATGTGTATATATATAATATATTAATATAAATTTAATATATGTATAAATTATTATAGAATAACCAATGAGAGGATACTAAGGTACACTAAGTCTCCTCTATGATAACAAAGAAAATAAAATATTTAGGAATAAATTTAACAAGAAATATGCAAAACATATATTAAACATCCTTGAAAGACACAGAAAAAAGATATGAACGAATGGAATGACATTCCTTAATCTTGGATAGGATGAGAACATCAGAAAGATACACATCAGCCTTCCTTAAATTCATTTATAAATGTTTAACAATCTCATTCAAAACAGCAACAAGCTTCTTTGTGGAGCTAGATAATTGATACTAAAGCTCTTATTTTTTAAAAATACAAGAAGAACATTCAACGTCTGGTTAGGCAAGAATGCCTTACCAGACATTAAAGCATACCTATTGAAACAGCGGGGTCCTGGCATATAAATAGACAAACAGACCAGTGGGAAAGAACAGAGAGTCCAGAAATAGACCCAAGCTCATACAGGAATTTAGTCTTTGATAAAGGTGACATCTCAAATCTACAGAGGCAAAGACAGACTTTTTAACGAATAGCCCCAGGCAACTGGCGAGTTGTTTGGGAAAAGATCCATATCTCACAGCTTCCTGACACAGAACAAATTCCAAATGGATCAGGGATCTAGATCTAAAAAAGGAAACCATGCAAAGAACTCCCAGACGCTGGGATTTCAATCGTTCCTTGACAAAGGAACTTAAGGCAGAGAGTCCCCCGCTTTTTGGTTTTCTGACCACCCCTGTCTCACCTACCTGTATAGCAGGGAACAAAGCCGTTCCATAACCTATTAAAGCTGTATTGTCGCAGGGATTGCCAGTGCTTCTTCTCATGGGCACACTGCTAGACTACATTTCCCAGACCCTGGCAGCCCCTTGGGTTTCTATAGCAGAGTTCTGCAGTGTGAGGGAAGTGCTGTGTGCTGAGGCCAGACCTGACCTAGAAAACCAGTCTCTTTCTCTTTCTCTCTCTTCCCTCGTTGGCCAACCAGGCAAAGACTAGAGCAGTCCTAGAGATGGTGTGGAGCCACATGATGGAAAAAGCCTGGATCCCTGATGGACGGCATGGAGTGGAGAAACCCCACCACCAACAATGACTTGCACTGGGCTGCAAAGCAAATGAGAAATAACCTCTTACTGGTTACGCCACTGAAATTTAGGTTTTGTCTACGACAGTAGCTAGCGTTACTTGCTCTGACTAATATGGTACGACAGTTGCTACCACAGTAGAAAACTCTCTCAACCCTTTAGAATCTTTTCTTTCTTTCCTGCCTCAGTATATATGTAATATATAAACACAAGAACCTGCACATTTTACATTGAATAGATAGATGCATACCAATCCACATCTAGGTTCCTGCCCGTTGGTGCTTCGAGGACTATAAGAAGAGAGGGATAGGACGACATGAGCATGCGGCAAAAGAGAACAGAATGCTGGGAGACACAAAATCCTGGCACCAAAGACAGATCACAAAGATCAAGTCCAAAAATGTTGGAAATTGTGTGTTGTTCTACCTCTAAGTTAAAGCTCTCATAAGTTTATTTAGAGATTAAACCAGAACATAGGGAGCACTGTTACAGTTGTAAAACTGCTACTTTAATGAAGTGGCTTGACCAAGTCAGACAGTGAAGACATGGTAGCCTGGATAGGGAGGGAGCCAATTAGTCAGGCAAAACCATAGTGGGTAGGTAACAGCACTTAGAATTTCATTCTTCGGAGTGAAAATAAGTTGTTTTCATTTAGCCAGCAGTGCCCCCACACCCCCATGCCGCCCGACATGTTTTAATAGGAACACAATGTGGCTGACTCCCTGAGGACAGATCAGAACTTTCTCGGGCACCAGACTGACCATACCACACTGACCTCCCAACCCCAGCAGAGCACAGAGAACACTCAGGGCTTAAGGGACCCAAAGGACAAGGGCCTTGCAAGAGAAGTGGCTTGGGAAAAGCGGGAAAGAAGCAGAGAGGCAACCACCGATGTGCATCCTTCACACGATGGGGAAGTCTGCAGAAAGAAAGTCAGCCTCCGAGGAATGCGTGCTCCAGCCCCCAAGGGTCCACGGGGCACTCATGTTACACCCAAACTTAGGGATGGTTTCTAGTGATCTTTGCTGTTGGGAAGCACTGTACATGCCATTCACAGAGTGTGGGCACTGAGGTGATGAGCACCACCGAGAGAAGCTGGGTAAGTCCAGCTTCCTTGGGCAAGAGAAAGAACAAAGCCCTGCAAATGTCTGATGCCAGAGAAGAGCTGACAATGCATTTATAAGCTCTCTTTCTAAGCATGATTATCATATGTGTAAAATAAACACATTCAAAGGGCAAGCTAAAGACTAATGACACTGTGCGGAGAGAGTGTGCATTAGCATACGATGCCTTCCAAGCCCCGGACGCTGACTCATGTGTCCAGAGCAGGGGGGATGCATGGAAATTGCTGTGGTAGAGAAATCACTGGGGATACCAGAAGAGAAGACGTACTAACAAACTACATCTAAAGAGTTGAGATTCTAAGACAGCATCCGAGAAAGGCGTTTAGACTTTCTACCCTTCCACAGGGTAGAAACGTGAATTTGGACTCAAGTACTGTATCGGTACAGGCATGGTACTGTCTCATGGACTTAGATTCAAGACCAGTATGGGTACTAGAGAGGTAGGCCAGACTCCTTGCCAGGCCTGCAAAGCCCCATGGGGTCTGGTCCCTAGAGCTGAGGACACTGAGTGTCTCCTCCTCCCTCAGCCTACCCGTGGCTCCAGTCACACCCGCCCTCTTGCCAGAGCTGGAACATTCCACACTCCGTCCTGACTCAGGGCTCTTGCCAGGCCCCTTACCCAGGAAGTTCTTTCTTTCTCTAGCTTGGGCATAGTTCTCTCCCTCACTCCCTCTAGTCTCTGCTCAAGTGTCAGGTTCACCGAGGGCCTGCTCTGACCAGCTTGGCTAAAAAACTTCCTCAAATTCAACCATTGTCCTGTTCCTTCAGAACACACTTACTATTTCTAGTATTCCATAATAGGCTGCAATACTCAATACTAAATATACGTATATACTTATATATAGATATATACCCCTTATGCATTTGATCTTTATTTACTGGCTTGCTTGTTGTCTAGAATGGCGCTGTCCAATATGGTAGCCACTAACCACATATGGCTATTAATATGGCTGGTCTGAACTGATAAACACTGTGGGTGTCAAATACACACTGGATTTTGAAGCCTTGGCATAAAAAGGATAGTTTTTATACTGATTACATATTGAAATGAGAATGTTTTGAATATATTGGTTTCACCACAATTTATTATTAAAATTAATTTCAGTCATCAGCAACTGGCTGATGCAGCAAATACGTGTTTCTTTTTATTTAGTTAATATGTTTACTAGAAAAACTTAAATTCCACATGTAACTTGTTTAGGAATTGCATTCTATTTCTATTGGACAGTGGTGATGTAGGATGGCCATTCCTCAATAATTGGGACCATGTCTGTCTTGTCCCCAGCATCTAGAAGAGTACCTGTGCATGGTACAGATTTAGTAAATATTTGTCGAATGGGACCCTGTGTCTATTGAAAACATGGGGATACGCAACCTCTCTCTTTCTCTTGCACTCTCTCTCTTCTTATGTAACAATCCTTGTCCCCTGATAGCATTGTTACATAAGCCTTCTTTGCTTACTTAAGACTGTCCTGACTTAGCCCCTTTTTCAATAGATATTAGATATTAAAACATATATTTTTCACTATCTTCTGAAAAGAACCCTTTTTTTTCTTTTTTCTTTTCAAAATATGACAGCATTTTAAGTGACCCTTCTTGTGGACAAATGGGTTCATCTAATTAACCTGAGATAAGGCTTGAACGTAATCAGGAAACCAAACAAACATCATACATCATAAGAGGAGACGGCACATGTCGGTGGTAAGAGCAAAGGCCTGGAGGTCAACAGAGTGCCACACGCCCGATGGAGAAAAGGATGAAGAGTGAGGACAGCAGAGTGACAAGCACTCAAAGCCAGCCTCTGCTTTCCTGGTGCGCCCAGGCATGCCTGACTTGGGCAACTGGCTGATGCAGCAAATACATCTCCAAAAGGAGAGACAAAATCTATTTGTTCTTTCCACAGATTTATTGAGTTCCTCCTACGTGCCAGGTGCTGGTGATACAGCAAGAATAAAACAGACAAGGGGTCCACTCTTACTAAAGCTTATGTGCTAGCTCCAGGAGGTAATGAACACATTAGCACATACGTAGATAATATGCGTATTCTATAGACTTTATTGGGGCATCCCCAAAGAAAGGGAACCATGCTTCGATTCACTTTTAGAATCCACAGTTTGGAGGACAAAGTTGGACAGTAGATTTTTGTTTTTTTCTGAGAATAATTTTAGGATTTCTACAAATTAAGGATGTTTCAGGTAAATCTCTGCAAAACTCAAATCCAGGCTAGATATGAGAATGCAGAGGCCACCATTTAAAGGAGCATTCAGAATGGTGTAGATTCAGTCCCAGAGGAGGAGTGCCATTGCCAGGGGCCGGCTCAGGACTTGCATAGGAGCTGTGTGTCAAAACCTAAAAAATAAAAGCTAAAATTATATTTCTAAAGAGAGAAAAAATAAGGTTGAATACCAGTATTAGTGTTAGTACAAAATTAGTATAAAATGCACCTCAGGGTTGCTAGAGTTGATGTGATATTTGGCACAGAATAAAAGCAGAGCAAAGCATGACACTCACTGGAACAGAACTTGCTAGTCTGAAAAGCCCTTGAACTCCATAGTGTTCCAGGGCAGGAAAATGCTCTTGTCTCTTTGTTAGCTTTGAGCACGCCTGAGCATTTTCTAGAAACTGCTAGCACTGCAGCCCAAATCGCGAGCTCTGAGCTGAAAGGAGACAGAGACAGACTGAGCAAAGGCTTTGATTTAAAATCCTGCAGTCACTGCAATACCAGGGCGGGGGAGCCCATTGCAGGATTGTTTAGCTAAGGAGACCTGACAAATCTATAATGCAGGTTTTCAGACAGTGTATAATCAGTCCCCTGGCTTATATATTATATAATAGTAAATTTGTGTCCATTGAGTTTCTGTAGGAGGAATGGGTGTGCTATTCAAAGTGGTGTCTTAGCAAAGAAGGAAACACTTTTTTTAAGAACGAGGATTTGTATGGGTATACATGTAATTATATCATCTGTGTTCATTCATCCAATCACAAAAAGATCTCTTAGTAACTTTTACAGAGTCAGTGTTAGGGATTCAAAAGTGAAGAAAATTGGGTCCTTGAATTTAAAAAAAATTTCAGCCTAGTTGGAAAGATCAACATGTGAGCAAATTAGGGTACCAAATGGTAAGTGTTAATAGAGATTCGGATGCTTTAATATGGGCTCAAAGAGGAAAACATAGTGAATCCTGCCTGGCGAGGGATGGGAGTCAGGGAAGCCTCCAGGAGGCGCAGACGTTTGAGTGGCGTGTCGAGTTTGCCAGGCAGAGAGAAAGGGACTTTACTGAGGCTGAGGAAAGCATATGCAAAGCTCATCAGCAGAAGCATGTGTGTGGAAGAGCAAGCAACACTTAGAGAATTACAGTGTGAGTGAGGAAGGAAAGTGGGGGAAAGACAAAGTTCATTTGGACGTGGGTTCAGCTGTACTAAAAAAAGTTCCCAAATCAGATTGACTTTGTAAATAAAGACACTTATTTCTCTCTGTAATATGGACATGAGCAGTCCAGGTTGGCAAGAGGCTTCAGAGACCCCGACTCCTTCTGTCTTGGTACACAGCCATCCCAGAGACATGGCCCCTGTCTCATGGTCTCATGAGGTTCACCACTGCACATCTATATTCCACCCTTAACACCTGTGCATTCTAGCCCTGCTAT